ACAGCAGAAACCTTTTGGCTGGAGGGCATTGTGAATATTATTGTTTATAGCCAACCGGGAAATGTGTAATTATTGTTTATAGCCAACCGGGAAATGTGAATATCATTGTTAATAGCCAACTGGGAAATACTAAAGAATCTGTGTAAGCTGGTTGTCAAACAGTTTCTATTATTATACACATTTCTAAAACAAATGAACTAAATGTGATCCAATGTATAATACGTATCGTGATACAGGTATTGTAAATCGATGTATTGTCGGCCTCATATAGGGATACAATACTGTACAAACGTATCCTTACACCACCCCACATGGAACAATTTGACCAGTCACTGTCAAGGCTCCCACATACATGATCGCGAGAACTACATGTTGACATAGAATCGTTAAACTACAACAAATATGACTTTTAACAAGTCAAAGTATGGCATTTAAGATATAAGTATCCATTCTCCGTCAACTAAAGTTTGTTTCAAGGCGTCAATAGTGTTAATCTGACTGTGGTTGCTGTAAATAACAGTTAGTTGTGGGATCTTCCGATCACTTCACACACGATTTCGCTGAAATTAATTAAACAATATTAAAAGAAATTTGAATAAAATTAATGAAATTAGTTACAAACATAAGTTCAGATATAATGAACACTTTTTATAACCAGACAGTGTATTTACAAGTTTACATTGTGTACTTCAGTACAGATTTGTTGACATGGTATTTCTGGTGTTACGTGCTCACGGTAATGTCTTTGTGTTGGGGGGGGAAAAAACATTAAAAACTCATTACGGCGTGTATAATGCGCATCCCCTCCTACACAGCTGTGTTTTTTGGGAAAAAATGCACACTATACTCAAGAAAATATGGTAATAATGAAGTAAGACTCTTCACTGAGTATTCCTCCACAACTCACTGCTGGCACTGTTCTCTCCTGACATGTTTGACATCTCCATGGCCACGCTTTCACATAAATGTCACGGATATAAGGATAACAACCTGTTCATGATGTCATGATCATCGGATAGCAAAACATATCAACGCTAATGTTTTAATATCAATGCGAAACAGATATGGGCAACTATAATGTTATCAAATTGGATCCAGAGAACATCAATATGAATAATAATTTGTCAAAAGGCATGGAAAAACACAGTTAGTGTTCAATTCTGTTGTGTTTTTGAAATAACAAATTTCAAAATATCGAAAACTATTCTTTTTTATTCCTGCCCAATCTGTTTACTCAAACAATATTTCATTGAAAATAATTCACATCAATATATGATCCATTGGCACACTTTTTTAATTTTATGGTTTAGTTCAGGTAAAATGGACCCAACAGATATGTGATAATAGTATGCAGCTTTTTCTTTTATTTAAATTATTTTTTAATATTGATAATGTTAACACAGCTAGCTTGTTCAGAACTGATGTTAGCTGCAATGTTTCTCAAATTTGTAGGTTAAAAGAACTTCAGCAAAGATGTTGAAACATGCGATTCTTTTCAAAATGTTAAATACAGGTTTCTGATTATTTCCAGCTTTTTATACTTTATTTAGCATGAAATTATTTGGGTCAGTTTGTTCAGTGGAAAAACTTAAGTGGTGATCCTGTCTAATGTGCAGCATGTACATCTTACTCTGAGGAGGTTTTGCAGTGGCCGCAGAATACAGAAAACACAATTGATCAATTATAATCACAAAAATTACCTAAACAATTAACAATATCAAGAATACTGCATGATATTTGTAGGTGTAAAGTTTGTTTGTCTACGCAGTCATGCAAATACAAATATTTTAAAGCTATCTTTATTTTATTCTATGATCATGGATGTTTTGAGTTAGTCCTTTAAATGCATAAACCAAAACGACAAAGTGTCGCCTAAGAAACCTTTGACTTGTCATTTTTTTCATTATTTCACTTGAATTACAATATGCATAAATCATTTCACAATGACTTGAAAGAAACCTGTTCCTTTTAATCAATCCAGAAAACAAATCCATGAAACCAGCAATTAAAACAAAAAAACAAAGGCATTCTGGTGACCCTGTCCTGACGTGTCACATGTCCCACTAGCTACCTAATTCTAAAAATTTCTAATCAATTCCAGGATATATATATACAGTATTCGACGTAATAAGCGCCCCAATCTAATAAGCGCCTAAGGCGTTATTTGCCAATATATTGGCTAGTGAACAATCCCAATTAGCACCCCTTACGATTGATCAATGTACACAAGACTTGTTTATTCCTGTATAATATGCACTTGTGTGTTATACGCACTCTTAATTATGGGCAATTAAATTCTGGAAAATATATCTGTCGTGTATAATACACACAGACTCATCTTTTGTATCATTTCAGGCTGATAGCATAAACCACGAAATTTACGATCTTTCAACTGTTTTTATTTTTCTCACCAAAATTATATTCTAATAAGAGCCCCCTATTTCTAATTTTGAGAGCACCCAGGGTGCTTATCACGTCGAATACGGTATATCTGATTCACCTTACATTATTGCCACAATAATGGGTTCGTAAGGTGTTTTGTGAAAAATGCTACACGACATCACAACAGTAACTTTTAATCACGTTAATAATAGTTTTAGCATGATACTATTTTGGATATCAAATGAGTGGATTAGAATTATCACCAGCCAAAAGACATAATATTAGAGAGGGGATCATAGAATGACAAAAAACAGAACTTGATTGTATAGTTTCACTTGTTACAGATCAGATTGAGACACGGCCTGGACAAATGGTCTGTTAGTTCAAAACTAGTGAAAAAGTCAAAGGAATGATATTTGTACTATGTGGATGTATCTCATGGTTAATCTACCCCTGAAAATAGTTGTTTTTATGATAAACCAATGATATTTGGATTGACTTCATTGCACACACATTATCTGGCTCTTCCATACAACTGTCTTGTACAAAATGATATTTGAAATAGGTCCTTCTTGTATAAACAGAGATACAGATAAGCAGCGTATTTGCGTAAAATACCCCCCAAAAATATTCAAAACCCAATTACTTTCAATTAACTTGCGTACCGAAACACATACATTAAATGAAAAACTCATGTATAAAAAACAGCACATGTAAATACCCAATGAAACTTTTTCAGCATGCATGCAAAGGAGCTAATTTACGAAACACAATTACCAGCAAATTTACTTTCTGAGTCAAGCCTATATATTTAAAACAGTTATATACATATAAAACATTATTTCATTTTTTTAAAATCTTTAAATGTTCACTAATTTTGGAAAAAAACCAATAGAGTGATGAATAGATGAGTGAAAAAATACTGGTTACCCAATGAAAAATGTAAACACCCATTTAAAATAGAAACCCTGGAGTTAAAACTCAATTGCTCAAAAAGTCATCTGGAGCTCTGTATAAACAAATTTTTTTGACAGGTCTGTGTTGCATACACAAAGCTATATGGAACAGTCCTGTCATGTATCAGCAATGAAAATAATTAATTAATTTTTAACCATTTCTACACAAAGGCCTATCCATGTGCTTCAGACACACACTTACTGGAATAACATTGTCTTTACAGGAGATGAGCTGAGGCTATCACTGAGATAAATGAACTGTGAAATGTAGACCTAGTAATCTGGCAGGATCCTTGGAGTGGAGGAAGCCAGTATAGATTTACACTGGCTGATCACCAGCAGTCTCACAGACCGTCTCCAGCGATTAATTATAGTAGGCAGTATTCCTTCCTCTGCTCCACTGTTTACATTCCGCTCTTAACGGCCAACTTGTGCTGCACATCTTCCTCAACCTGACCTCACACTTAACGCTGTTATTTCAACATCACTGACACAGTTCAAAAACCTTTGATATAATTGTATGAAAGTCAAAGGCGTTAGAACTGGGATTCTATCATACAGTGATCGAAAAGGGTGAAAGTAAAAGGGTTCTTGTTTTGTCCTTATTTTGAAAGTGATAGATTTAACTTTGGGACCTTAAGCAATGTTAGTTGGGATTCAAGTACAACATTTAGAGACAAATAACCCTTAATTACACTGACCCTGCGACTATGTGGATTAAATAATGACATAACTATATAGTTGGTGTAGTGAACTATTATAACGTGTAAAATACAAATTCTGTTAGAATGAATATGAAACACTGAAAATATACATATGCAATAAACAATAAACATGATAAATGACTTGTAACGAGTAGGAAACTTAATTATCAATAACAGAGTTCTTTAATTGTCGATTGTGTCATGCTGGCATGATTAGCCTAAAGGCTAGTAGCAATATAATGAGGGATTATGGTAACGAGCTAATTGGCACTATTCAGGCAGACCTTGAGGCACTAGCTTATCCCCTCATATATACATATATATTTACACACACTTTAACATATCAAAACAGTGACATGAACCAAATATATTCACATGTCACAAATGATGAACAGCATGACCAAGGACAACTATATTAATCACTGGTATGTCATGACGCGTACACATGGTACAACATACCACTGCACATATTTTCTGATTTAGATCATCATCATCATCATCATCATCATCGTATTATGTACTATTCTCTAAAGCCAGTATATGCCATCTCAATGGCAAAATTAAGCTGTCTGTTTCATCATCATCATCATCATCATCATCATAGTATTATGTACTATTCTCTAAAGCCAGTATATGCCATCTCAATGGCAAAATTAAGCTGTCTGTTTCAGCGTCAACGTCTCAGGCTCTTCACATACATCTGCGATATATGTACAGAGCTTTACATTATATTATTGACGTATTCTAAAAGCAATTACATTCCAGTCTGGTATTGAATGCCAACACACCAGAAAAGACAATACGGCTCTATAACGATGGATCTATTACCTTGATAATAGAGCAGACAGTTATTCAGATGCAACCTAGCTCTGAGATGGAGGTCTGTCGTGCAAACGGTACACACGCACCAACAGTTGCACGAATGTTTACAATCAATGGTGCTTCGCTGTATACTCACTTCTTCGAAAATGGATCCGACATTCGCCGTGATGAGTAGAACTGCGAGATGTTCTTCGTCCATGTCTATCGACTGAAAGATATATCCCGACAAGAATGTGACACATGCATATAACTACAATGTATCCATACACACAAAACAGAGATTATCCATAGTATAACTGAGAACGCAGTGCTCCAAACAAGTCATTCATGTGCTGACATTACAGCAGCACTAATGAAGTTTTTGACGTCACACACGAGCGCCATCTATAATACAAACAAAGGGAGCTCACTCTAATCCAGCACATAGAAGGGGGCGTGGCATATTTGTTTTGATTTTGTGTTTGAGTGGCACGCAACTGTTGTCGTTTGTGGAGTAGCTTGAAATTTACCGTTGTCTTTAGTGTTTGATCCGGTACATGCCACGTTTTGGTAGAAAGTACATAATACATGTTTCTGAAGTTAATTCATATAATCATAGATTTTGATAACACTAATTTGAAACCTGTAATCAAATTATTCTGAAAGTTATTCATGGATAAATCTTTTCCTCACCACGCCCAGTTATATTACTGTATAAGACATATCTTGTATTGTGTGATCCGAAATGTTTATTTTCTCCGTAGTGAATTCGAATATATGCCAACAGATAGTTTTAAATCAAGTTTGACACATAAATAGTGTACGATTAGCCTCGGTTCCGGTATTAGGTACGCTTGGATGAACTATTTGTACAGCTGTCGTTGTTTAGGGGATTATTTATCGTTTAGTTTGATACACAGTTAAAACATACCAGCTGCAATGGCATGGTAACACCATTAATATTGCTTTCCTTATATACCTTAAGTGTTTCTTACTTAAACTTGTATAACGTTAAGGTATAAATGTTGTTATTTACGGTAATTACGTTATCTTTTAATAACAGTGCGTGAGTATGGTTTTACGCCGCTTTTAGTAATATTTTAGCAATATCACTGCGGGGGGCCACCGGAAGTAGGCTTCACATTGTACTCATGTGGGGAATCGAACCCGGGTCTTCGGAATAATGAGCGAATGCTTTAACCATTAGGCTTCCCCACCGCCCCAAAGTTTGAAAACAACTAGAACTAATTGATGATAACTGTTTAATTTTAACTGTTTATTATCATAAAACTCCCCATTGTTGGTTTTACAAAAATAAACATACGTGCTCACTTCTCTTCATATATGTTTATTGAGCTCAGTATATCGACATTGGTCAATCACTTCCACGGCCTCGTGTGGCATAGCGACAACTCCATTGATCTCCCTGTACGACGTCTCCGTCAGACCATACTGAATCAATCGAGTCCATTAGTGACATAACGTCGTGTCTCTGCATGAAGGGAGACGTTGACACCGACGGCGTCTACACAAACTTGTGTGGTGTTGTGATGTGATTGCTATACATACTACATATGGCCTGGGTTTAATCCAAGAAAAAAACTCTCCCTTTTTTACTTCCACGGGGAACTCTCGTTTAAGATTTCCATATAATATCGATCTTTTGTCGGCCCCAAATTACCACAGTGATGTGAATTATTGACAGAAATGCGTGGAAACGTGGGGAGCACATTTGAAAACAAATTAATTTATTTTTCATTTGATTAAACATTGTAACCGCGTGCGGCTTTGGCGAGTGCAAGCCAGTGAGATTTTTATACAGGGCGGTGTAAATAAAATATAGAAATGTAGTTTAATCTTCTCTCGAAATGTCTCATTAATTACATGAAAGGATGTTTAACATATTCCCAAGTGTTAAAAGAACGTGATTAAATACGAGGGCCTCTTCACGTTTTTATATTAATGCATATGCTTATTTGGAAAATAGTTAAACACGCTTATCATATTTAAAACTGAAGGCATTTCGTTTTCGTTAAGTGTGTTTAAGGCCAGTAGACCAAATACCAAACCTAATCTGTATTTTGAAATCGGTCACACGATACAATATTGACATAAGAACTCAGATAATAAAATCATAGTAGTGTCTTCAAAATAATTCCTGTTTTCAGTATATTTTAACAATAGTGTTTATGTCGACTATGAGTGGTCAAACAAAGGTAACATGTACATGGCATGGTGTTGGTGTAAAAGAAGCCATATATATTTTGTAACATATGCTAGTTTATGATCATGTTCTCCTGTCACAGTTGCTGGACCATCACGAAATCAGGTTACAGTCCTTTTTGCTACATGACTAGGACTGTGAAACAACACTTTTGACAGTGACGTTTGACATGTCAATATGTATGAACCCGTAGGGGGTAAATAATCATCACTGACTTTAGTCCCTAAAGGGTTACATCACTCTTGGCATATACACATTATACATGTTACATATCAACAGAGAATTACTTCACTTCACAAATAAGTTCCAGTTTGCCATTTATGCAAGTTCAGAAACAAATTCGACAAAGAACTCCCTACAGATTACAAACCATTTCAACAAGGACTTACCACTGATAAAATATTAATTTCAAAGTACAGTTTACAAGGATGACAAACTATTGTAAGTACAGTAAACTACGTTTATAACGAACTCGCTTATAACGAACTGACGGATATAACGAACTTACTTTTTGGTCCCGACTATTTTCTGTAGTTATGCTGTATGTATATATGCTTATAACGAACTACGGTTATAACGAACTAAAATTAGTGGTCCCTTTGAGTTCGTTATAACCGTAGTTTACTGTAATTTCAAATAACCATGTTCCTTCCAGTGGGTCGTACTGTTTTCAGATTCGACCAACGCAATTAATAGGTCCGAAATTGAGCAACATTGTTTCCTGTACAGGGTGCACGTGACTATGCTGTCGAGTACAGCAAGAGTCCATTAGTTCCTGTACGACCAACACAAGGATATACGTCACACCAGCCGATGGTTACATCGTCTACAGATCCGGGCTATGAACTTATCCTGTTTCTATTGTTACCGTAAATCCTTGAATAGACCACAGGCCGACTATTTATTTCAGAGACGTCTTACCCCCGGCGTTCAATGCAGGCGTCTGTCTTTTAATTATGGTCAACACTATTAATCTTCATGAAGATGAGACGTGTAAATTGAATGAAATGTGGGTGATTGCATTTGACTCAATCACTTAATTAACCTAAAGGAATGTCTATGTTTAGCGAGGCATAGTTGTGTTGATTTTGACGCACCGTCTTTTCAAAGCAGGCGTATATTCATTTAGCGATACTGACTCGGCGTGTATTTAATGCAGACGTCTGTTCAAGGATTTACGGCATGCGAGTGAGCTTTGTAGCCGCCGTTGTCCGCATAGCATCGTAAGTTATGGTTGCTTCTTCTGATGCCATGAATCAGATCCAATACCAATAATTGTATCAACGAGAAGTATACAGCCAAGCACATTTATTTTATTAAGACCTCACAAGGAAAGAACATTACAATTGGAGATTTCTGCATACAGAACAGAACCGTGTTGCACTCACACCGCTGTCAGTTATATATTTGGGTGTACATTAAATATACACGTATGTTTAACATAGTAATCCTTTAATTTAAAATTTTCAGAAGGACGCAGATATAAATATCGGTAAACACTTAGTCTATGAAAAACATTTCTACTGCTATTTCCATATGTGGGTTATATATATCACAATACCAAGGTGACAATGGACAAATAACTTACGCCTTTACATTTAACTAAGGCGCGCCAGAAGTTGGGATATGAGGAAGTTTAGTTATGGCATGAATGCACAATTTTGAGAGTTTCTCACAATTGCGACTCTATGAGTATTAAACCTGTTACACGTTGTTTGCACATGTTGGTGTTTATCTGCAACCTGCTGCACATACTTATCTACTTACTCAGGATCATGTGATGGGAGAAGAACCTTTTGACAGGAGCGCGCTGGCCAGCTAGATGGGATATTTTACGACGCTTTATTTGGTATTAAGGGAAACGTTACCCAGTGGTATCAGATCAGTTCAGTTCCTTCATACATGCAAGGGACCCGTGAATTGGCGTTTTATTCTGCAGTCACCAATATTCACTCTATATCAATGAGACCTGTAATAAATTAATCAAGTCTCGGCTTGGCACATATGCCCACATATACGGCGAACGATCATAGCCGTCATCATAACTTTAGCTATATATATAGTCCGCCTGTTAATGTTTAGAAATCATGTTTTACAAACCTGGAACTCAAATACCACACCAAGCTCTAAAAGGTTAATATAATCAACATCAGAACACGTGAACACATTTTGAGAATTTCTTTTGTTCAATCATGTACTTGTCAGTTTCAAAAATCTGCCTGATTGACCACAGTTCACCTGAGGCCGGCCGATTATAATCTGAAGCCAGAGAAGATAGACTCTGTAATTTATACAATTCAATCTCTGTTGGAGGCGAGTCCAACTATCCTTCAAAGATTATTCTTACCACAAACATATCGCGACTGGTTGCATATACCAACGAATAAAGAAATGTTCAAGGGCCAAAAAATAAATGATCTGAAAAAAATTGCTAATTTATTTAACTAAATTAAATCTTCGATAACTGAAGCTGTTGTAACTTTGTTCTTGGCTGTATATTCAGTTATGTTTTCATTGAATAGAACTATTTTAGCAGACAAATAAGTGGGTTTAGATTAGAATGAAACCTGCTAGGACGGACAGTTTGTCGAGTTCTGCCCCCTCAGCATCGTCTCGAGGCAAGGGAGTTAACTGGCTGGAAGCTGGACTTTTATAGTCATTTAACTCCCATAACCCGGGTAGATTTCCGTTTCCAATGACATCATGTTCTTCATTCCTTGGCTTCCTATTCTGGATATTGATCCTTCATGATAAACCTGATATGCACGCTCGTGCTCAGGACCACAGAATGAAATGATGGCTAAGCAACTGTAATTAGACTTTCCAGAGTTGCTTCCCTTAGCGGTAACATGATCCATGGGACATAGTTTTGAATTCCGGATTTGCGTTGATTGTTATTTGTGGTCTGTTACCTAAATACCCTTGCTTGTGAAACACATCTAAGGTAGAAGTATGTCACGTTGGGTTTCCTCACTCAAGAGGATAACACATCATGATTATATGCAGTGATATTTTTACAGTGACTCGTAAACCTGGGTCAAGATGGGTCTGAAGTAGCTCATGCTTGTCTCCCCGGGGTGATTCCTTTTCGGAATAGGTCCCCAGCACCCCGTTCTTCTAGTCAAGGGCGACTAAATGCACCAGTCGTATTCCAATACGTGGGTTGACGCTCATGACGTCAATCACATGATTGTCTAGTCCTGACACGATGTTTTACAGACCGCCGTGCTGAAATGGGCGTTAAACGCCCAACTCTTGTTTGCATGAATACATCACCAAAACAATAACATGTGCTTGTAAATGTACACATGTAGGTGTTTATTACACTCACAGACTTATCATTCAATACATCAACTGTATATAAACATAAATAAAATCAACATTTATTTTGACAAACGTGACGAAATAGTTTCTATATAAAAACACGAGTTGATTAGTTGATTAATTATATATTTTTAGCTTTTGAAATATTTCTCAACAAAACATGTATGTATATAAATGTAAATGTTTCTGTTACGATATATTTACAATCAAATCATACACATATTAATTCCGTAATTCATGTACACAAGTATTACATAGACAGCTCAGATCGACAAACAGAGGGGTTACAGCACTGCATTCGGGCTATGTTGCAATATGACTGTCAGCATTCACATCTATTCCAATATCGGCATATATCAACGACGTTCAATGCCACTATAAAACATTGCTCTAACAACGTATTTGTAAGTGCATATTATTATGAGATAACACTTCAACACATTGTATGGTTAGGTCTAAGTAAACAAAATTATGTATAGGTTAAATGCTTATGATGCTGAAAGACATATATAGGGAGTTAGTGAGTGATTTTAACGCCGATTTGAACAGTATTTCAGTCATATCATGGCATGTCAGCTGTGGGAGGACGGCTGAATTGTCTACCACTCGGATACAATGCTGAAAGTCCTGGCTAGGATAAGAATTTGGAAAAATCTGGAATTCAAACCCTTTTGAAAAGCAGATCCGGACACGGCCAAGGCACGCAACTATGCATAGCAAAATGCAAAGTCTTGTACCGCTTATCTACTTTATATATACATGTATACATTAATACAGATGTCCATTTGGGGGAGGTGGGGGTAGTCTTGTGGGTACAGATTTCGCTCGTCATGTCGAAGGCCCGAGTTTGATTCCCCACATGGTTACATTGTGTGAAGTCCATTTCTGGTGTCCCCCTCCGTGATATTGCTGGTATATTGCTAAATACGGCGTAAACCCATACTCACTCACTCAAACGCGACTGATATTGCTTGACACACATTGTTGGGGTGGATATGGACACTCACGGACTTATGAAGCTTGTTTTGTCACTACAAACAACATTGAACGCCAATCATATATCTTATGAAATATATTTTAAAATAATTTTGTACCGCACAGTCAGTTAGAAAGGGGTTGTATTATGAATAATACAGACGTATATACAGTGAAACCCCATTAATCCGGACGGTTTCGTGCCCTTCAAATTGTATGGATTCACAAATGTCCGAATTAAATCATAGTTACTAAGTATCGCTTTGTACCAATATAGAAACCAACAGGGAGGACAGGAAGGTAGGGTTTCTGGTATAACGAGGTTTCAGTGTTAAAGACACATAATCCCTGACACAAAAGAATGCACATACATATTGCTGGGTGAGAAATAGCAAAAAATAGAAAAGGTTTATTGTTTAACCACGTAATTGCTTTTCGGAAATATCATCGTGCGAAGCCATGCAGGACATACCCATATATCCAACATCATTGCGACAGAAGTTCGTCATACAGAGAAGCTGAAAATTGATATGCCTCATATAAATATATTCAAATGGAAAAATATCATAATGCGAGCAAGGTACACAACTTAATATCACAAATAATTAAAATATAAATGAACAGAAACATTGAAATCTTGATATAAAAACGATTCTTTGAATACAAAAAGTAAAATCCGAAAAAGAACAAACTTCAGTAGATATTTGTATAAGATATATCGAAATGAACACACACTGTAAAACACCAGATATCCTATACATTTTGTATATACATGTATACCCAACTCCAACAGAAACGCGAAGCTGTTCGCTTTATTACCAGAAGGTTTGAGAACGTTTTAACCGATAAATTGGACACCGTGTCATCTGGTCTAAAAAATCAAGCTGTTTTGAATTTAATTTTGACACAAAAGGACCATGCCCCGTCTAACTATCGGTCTTACTGACGTTGAGTGGAGTTGCCACACACCTAGGTGTCCATCATTTTACAATTTACAGGCTTCAAGAACGTCATCAGTTAACCAACAGTGCAGATGAACGTCAAAAACGCGGCCGACCGCGAGTTACTTCAGATTGACAAGATCAGTACGTGGTCGGTATGTGAAACCAAAATTACTCCAATGACGTTTTGGACTCACAAGAGACCCATCAGCAGTCAAACCGTTCGACTGAGGTTGAGAAGTGCCAATCCCCACCACCGTCGACGATACCAAAGTGGTAAAGGTCTGAGACCTGCATCACTTCGGGCTTCCTCCCACGTTAAGCTGACATGCCCTGGTATAGCTTGAATAGTGTTCAAAGCGGCGTTAAACTCAGCTCACTCACTCACTATCGTCGACCTTAATTTAACGTTCAAGTCAACGTCATCGCCGGAACGTCAGATATGGGCACATTATCATCGGACTTTTCATAACTGGGACACGTTTCACAAAGCGATCTTAGCGCTTTGACTATCGCAAGCCAGTGTTAAAGTATGGGAGTTACGATCACCTTAGCGCTATGATGGCTTTGTGGGACGGGGCCCAGGTACATGAGAAGGGTTATCTATACAGATGAAAGTCGTTTTTGTATAGTCCTGTCCGATGGTCGTGTTAGTGTTTGGAGACGTCGAGGCGAGAAAAGTTTGCGAGCGTTTCTTTTGGAGTTGAATCAAATTGAGTCTGCACATGATTTTATAAAGTCATTCTCCATGGCATCCTATGATCTCATGTTTGACGTTTTCCTCTGTCTAAAATGTTACTTATTTCACAGATGCTGCCATCTTCTTATCAGCAGGTGTAGACATAAGGTCAATATCTGGCTGTTCAAACATAGAACGGATGTTCTGCCCTCGTCATCAGGTGAACAATTACTTTGCATGCCGGGAGAAGTAGTGCCAACAGTGATGTTTTTCGAGGCTCTGTAAAGAACAAAAAATGAAATTGTTTAAAAAAATATTTCTAACTACTGTACTTAATTCAAATTTAACCAACAACAAATAAGTAAAGTTAACTTTAGAACCTCTGTACATTTGGTTTCCATTAACCCCACGCTACTTTATTCCATCGAATCCAATATTAGCCTGATTATGATCCTTGGGTCGTCAGCATCACCTCATTGCCCACGGGTTCCCAAAATGGTAAACGACCAATTTCCTTTAAATGAGATCTTTTACGATAAAATACCCCCATACCAGGTCGCGTCAGGTGAACCTCCAGATCAATCAGTGTCAAGGCGAAACATTCATACATTTCTGTATCACGAAAAAAACATAAACGGGTGTAGGGTGGGGGATGGGGGTTGCGGTGGGTGGGTAGCGCATTCGGTATGCAAAAAAAAATAATGCCACGCTGTCATGTTGTGGATATGGGGTAGGGTCAGTGACAGGAGTAGGGTCAGAGACAGGGGTAGGGTCAGTGGCGGGTAGGGTCAGAGACGGGGGTAGGGTCAGAGACGGGGGTAGGGTCAGTGGCGGGTAGGGGCAGATACGGGGTAGGGGCAGTGGCAGGTAGTGGCAGAGACGGGGGTAGGGACAGCGATGGAGGTAAGGGCAGTGACGGGGGTAGGGGCAGTGACGGTGGTAGGGGCAGATACGGGGTAGGGGCAGTGGCGGGTAGGGGTAGATACGGGGTAGGGGCAGTGGCGGGTAGTGGCAAAGACGGGGGTAGAGGCAGTGATGGGGGTAAGGGCAGTGACGGGGGTGGGGGCAGAGACGGGTAGGGGCAGTGGCGGGTAGTGGCAAAGACGGGGCTAGAGGCAGTGACGGGGGTAGGGGCAGTGACGGGGGTAGGGGCAGATACGGGGTAGGGGCAGATACGGGGTAGGGGCAGTGGCGGGTAGTGGCAAAGACGGGGGTTGAGGCAGTGATGGGGGTAAGGGCAGTGACGGGGGTAGGGGCAGTGACGGGGGTGGGGGCAGAGACGGATAGGGGCAGAGACGGGGCAGAGAAAGGAGCAGAGACGGGGGTAGGGATAGTGACAACGGTAGGGGCATTGACAGGGGTAGGGGCAGAGACGAGTGTAGGAACAGATACAGGGGCAGGGGCAGAGACGGGACAGCGACAGAGGCAGGGGCAGAGACGGGTAGGGGCAGAGGCAGGGCAGATTTTTCCACATTTAGCTGAAACGCTGCGATAATACTGAATTACTGATGAAAGCGAAAACCGAGTTCACTCACCCTTAATCTTTTGTTGCGACAATTGCATGCGAATACTTTAAATTTCATTATGTTTTGAATAAAGACTTAAAATTCACAGAAGAGCAAACATTAATGCAAAGTGTAATTATCCTAGGCAAGAAACATTCAATTAATTACAAACTTACCACGTGTTGAATCAGCTGATTCGGCGTCGAAAGAACTGCCTGTGTTTGATGTTGTTGGAATTTGATCTCCTGACCCTTTGCTTCGGTAACCTGTGGCCTTCGAGGATGTGGCATGTTCTTCTTGCTTGACAAAGTCAGACCTCGTTTCAGTTCCCTGCACATTCCACGACTTCTCCGTGACATCAGAGACGGTATCAACTCGAACACTCTTTTTGTCAATTGGGTATTCTTCATGCCGACTGTCGCTTGGAGTGTACTTTGAGCGGTCTTGCTGTGGCTGAGATTGAGACTCTTTTCTTGTCTTATCCGGAAGCTCATGTCTTTCAGCCGACTCAGTGTTTGTCTGACCGGATTTGTGGTGCTCCTGACTTTTGTTGCCAAGCGACGTTACCTTGTGTGAAGATGCCATGTTTTCACCACTTGTTGGGGTTAGGGCTGCTTGGCTTGTCCCAAACCGTTCCATCGCTTCGTTCGTGAGACTGATGGTATCAGTTACTGATTGCTTCTTTAATAATGATCGGGTGTCTGTTTGAGTTCGTCCGTTGGTGTTAAGGGCTTCCCGAGAAGCTGATTGGTCAGCGAAAGGACTGTCATCTCCCGAAACCCGTGCCTTAGTGTTCAGGGCTTCCCGAGAAACTGATAGGTCAGAGAAAGGACTGTCATGTCCCGAAACCCGTGACAAATCTTCTTGGTTTGAACTTCCAAGCTCATCTATAGCCGTCGTTACGCCAAGCTCTCTGAGGTCGTAGTGAGCAACATTAATGGGGGAATCAAGATCTGCTTCAGTTTTGTTTTCACGTCCCTTACATCTGCCTTGGGCGTGGAGATCTGTGTAAGATCCTCCTTGAACACTCAATTCTGTCGTCTGCCTTTCCTGGACGCTCCCATCCGGCGTTCCTCGCTCCGACGAGGTCAGCATGCTTTTGACCATGGTGATATCGCCACTGGATGTCTCCTCCGGACTCGACAAGTCCTGCAGACTCTCTGTGTCCGTTCTGGCTTCGATACTCCAACTCCCGCTCTCAGATATCCCAGAATCCTCCAGTGACGGAAGCGTCTCCCTAAAGAGGACGTCCTCCAACTCTCGCACCTCATCAACTTTCGTGATATTCTGCCTGGTGGTCGTGGCGGCTTCGATAGAAGGACCTGTCTGATCCGGGCCGGTTTGATAACGTGCCGGTTTTTTACAAGACATATATGATACACCACTGACTCCAATAGGACTACTGCTCCCTGGGGACACGTCGTTTCGATTAGTTGAAGCCGGAGGCTGCCTTTGATCAGAGTTTTCTTCTTGCTTTTCTGCCTCAGTGAACTTCAGGTGTGTTTGGTCTACATCGTGCACAGACTTCTCCATGCCCTGTTTCAGGAACAATGAGCGAGGTGTAGCAGTTATATCCACGCTATGCCGGTAGCGACCCCCACCTTCACTCTTCTCTGATGTGTCATCGGTCGATCTCCTCCTCGTCTGGGCGAGCTCTTGTCGAAACCCAACCATTCCCGTTCTTTCAAGTCGTGATACAACTGACGATTCCAAATCCCCCTGGTCTACCTCCAGACTTGTCATGGGTAGACTAAGGGAGGAGATTGTGTGGGTACCAGTCTCACAGTTACCCAACCTGCTGTCTGTTCCTCGACGCTGCATGGGAGTAGAGGGACCTCCTGTCCCGTGATCCTGTTCTCTGTCTTGCCGGGGGATGTTCTGGCGTGTTGATCCTAACCCATTGTTCCCCCGTTGTACCCGGGTATCCCTAATCGTCTGTCGCCTGGACAGGTCCATGGAGGTACCGTCTGTGATCTGACTATCTGGGATCTGATTCTCGGTGATCTGACGTTCTGTGATATGACGTTCTGTGTTCTGACTTTCTGTGTTCTGGCTTCCTATGTTTTGACTCTCTGTGTCCTGACGTTCTGTGTTCTTACTCTCTGTGTCCTGACGTTCTGTGTTCTTACTCTCTGTGTCCTGACGTTCTGTGTTCTTACTCTCTGTGTCCTGATGTTCTGTGTTCTTACTCTCTGTGTCCTGATGTTCTGTGTTCTTACTCTCTGTGTCCTGATGTTCTGTGATCTGACTTTCTGTGTTTTGACGTGTTGTGATCTGACGTTCCGTGCTCTGTCTTCCTCTGTTTTGGCTTTCTGTGTTCTGGCGTTCTGTGTTTTGGCTTCCTGTGTTTTGACTTTCCGTGTTTTGACGTTCTAGGATCTGACTTTCTGCGTTTTGAGGTTCTGTGTTCCCATGTTCAGTGATCGTCTTTCCTTCATGAATTCCACCGACTGGTCCGTCTGGTTCTACTTGTGTGACATGTTGGTCTTGAGCCGGGTGTAGGTTCACGTCATCATCTGTGCGGCTCTGGGCATTGCTCGCTTCACCGGCTGACACTCTCTCGGGGTTGTCTACATTTCCACAGTCGAGCCGTGCTATCTGTTCATCATCTCTCGCCCTGTCAGTAGTTTCATCAACCCTCCCACTGTCAGTTTCATCAACAATCAACCCAGTGTTCCCGCTGTTGGTTTCATCAACCAACCCAGTGTTCCCGCTATTGGTTTCATCAATCAACCCAGTGTTCCCGCTGTTGGTTTCATCAACCAACCCAGTGTTCCCGCTATTGGTTTCATCAACCAACCCAGTGTGCCCGCTGTTGGTTTCACCCACGTTAGCGAAATGACTCCTCCCCACAGTTACTTCAGTGTCTCCAGATCGATTCTGATTTATCAAACGTTGACCTTCACCTTGTGGTTCAGGAGGTTCATTTGCATAGTCAAGGTCATCTCTCCCCGAAAATCTCAGTTGGCCATCTGGGGTGTTGGTTTCTGATGGAATTAAAAGAAGAAAGAAACATAATAATGATTCTGATTCTTGTCTACTTTTATATAAGTCGATGTGGTATGAAGGAACATCTCTACAGAAAGGACATGATTGCAAACGGTGTCACAATAGGTTAGAGAAGGTAAAAGGTGTCTTAATTGACCGGGTAGTCATTTGGTTACTTGGTTGATGGCTCATATCTATCACTGATTTGTCGAATCCAGATTCCATTATTTACAGGTCTTATAGCTGGAATATTGCAGGGTTAAACAACAAACACACCGATAGCTGACACAACAAATGTCTTTGTATCAAATAACATGTGCGAACATATTCTCTATGACATTGACATTCTCTTTTGTTTGACCTACATTTTTATTTTTAATAAACCGAAATCTAACAGTAACAGATGACTCCTCGGTTCTCGTTCTTTTCCGTTTCTGTGTCCATTTGGACCCCTGTGACGTTCAACTGGCTGTCACTAATATATAGACTGCCTCAACAGACCAAATACACTTGCTATGAACGACTCAAACAATGTACGACATTGACTAGTTCAGTTTGTTATGACCCACGGTTGAAAGTTAGTCATGCTAAGAACTTTTTGACCAACCCTCGTATAATAACAAACTTATTAGAATGATGCTTATTCAGTACTAAACACGGTTCTAAAACACAACGGGTGGTTACTCTGCATTTGTATTGTACATATTTTCCTACAAGATGAAGTGAAATTGGGTTTAACATTGCTTGCAAGATTATTGCACTTATATAGCGAGGTGCATGCACATATGTGTGTGGCTGCCTGTACTAGTCCAGACTTCCGGTTTTATACTTCTAGCCCTCTGAGATCCATACCGCAGTTCACCATGATACCCCACTCAGCACACTGTATAGCCGACCAGTCCTTGTTTAAGCCCTTAATGCCGCGGGCCAGTCGGGGTAACAAGTACAATCCGGGGTAGAATAGGTTTCAAGCAACCCATGCTTGCCGTAAAAGGCAACTATGCCTGTCGTAACAGGCGACTAACAGGATCGGGTGGTCAGGCTCGCTGACTTGGCTAATGCATGTAATCGTATCCCAATTGCGTGGATCGATGTGCATGATGTCAATCACTGGATTGTCTGGTCCAGACTCGATTATTTACAGACCGCCGTCATATAGCTGGAATATTGCTGAGTGCGGCGTTAAACAACAAATAAACAAGCATCTTTTAACGACTTTAGTTATGACGCGGCCAGGGGATGGAGCCACAGACGTTCCGCTATCCCGGCAGACCTCCTATCCACTACGCCACGGAGGCGGTCTCTTTTGACAAAATCAAGAGGAGATACAAGTACGAGAACTACCAAATCCACGGCTGTACATGTACATTTGAAGATCCAGATGAAATTATCAAAAAGTCTATGGTGTCATACAGTTCGGGTTTTTCATAAATGCAAACAGTAACGGCAAATGCATTATTCAAATTACAGTAACCTACGTTTATAACGAACACGCTTATAACGAACTTACTGATAAAACGAACTTGGTTTTTAGTCCCGGCTATGTGTTGCATATATGCTGTATATATGCTTATAACGAACTACGGTTATTACGAACTAAAATTAGTAGTCTCTTTGAGTTCGTTATAACCGTATTTCACTGTAACTGAAAAAACTATAAAATCGTCACATTCAATAGAAAATGTACAAAATTCGTCTGGCTTCATATAAACTAGAACCTTGACACATGCATGGCTTGATAACATTAACACGACATGGTAATTTCACACCATTTCCAACCTTGACCAATGTGAACTATTTAGTTCGTCACGACAAAAATAAATACCAGTTCTTGCCGCACCTTCACGTGTTGTGCTGTGTACAGTACTATCGTGCATTACCCATGTGGTCACGTTATAAACCTGTTCTGACAAACTGTTACGCTTGTAGGGTACAATCTAGGCTTACAGGATCGGTATTATATCGTTACCCAAGACCAAACCACACAGCAGGATCAACGCAAATCCGTTGATGCAAGAATGACACAATATTCGAGACGTTTCTTAATCTTACCTGGTGATGGTTTAGCGGGTAGGACGATAGACATGGTGGTATCGCGGCGTCTCCATCAACAACCTCAACTACCTACACGTCGTCTACGACGTATTTTCACTGCCTAACCTCACTGCTGCTGTCCGCGTTAAGGGCCCCTACCTACATCGCCGAGGCCCCGAATCTGGATTGTAATATTTTATTCTGACCGTGCAGTAATACCTATTCTCATGTCAGTAATTGTGTATCGCGGCGGGGTAACGCGCATTGTGTGGGTGCGGTCAGCTGATACTAGATATGTAATTGATCAGACAGACATTGGTAGCACGGGCAATGTATTAGGAGAACTATCGATTCAGGTCATCATGTTTCAAATGAGCCATTCCAGGAGATGATACATCAGCGATACTTAATAACGAGATCATGCCATCAAAAAGTCTTATGTTTTATGACATCATGATAATTGTCCTAGTATTGTTTTATTTTTTTTATTTTTCATTTTTCTATATCTACACCACTAGTGTCTTCTATGCGGGTAGATTTTCGGCATTATTATACAAACAGAACAAGTAAAAGTGTCGGATTTGTAGAAGCCTTCTTGTGACTGGAGTTTACGGATACGGCTAATCTGAGGCGGCTAATGACCCCTGGTGCCTTGTGGTGTGGTAATACGGTGTTACAGGATCTAGAAGTAGGCTAATGGCTTTGTTTACTCCACGGCCACCAAACCTGGATTACATTTTCGGTGTTGTTAAGCCAAAGATACTAATTCTTTCAGCCAGTGAACAGGTTGTGTTAGAAGAAACTTACAAAACAAACACCATGAAGCGTAACAAGTGTTGTGTTGTGTCTTTGAGGACATTTCAATATTTCATGTTTTACCAAATAACCTGGCTACGGGATCATGAAACTAACTTAAGGCCATATTTTGTCTCAACTCTTTAGATTTAGACTTAAGACCAAATTTTGTCTTAAATCGGGGTTCACGAAGCTCAATCTATGAGAATATCTTAAGTCTAAGACAAAATTTGATCTTAAGTCCTAAGACTGCCCCTAAGTAGATGTAAGACAAAATTTGTTGCAAGAAAGATGACGGAGGCTATTCGCCTCATGCGTCGCCTCGGGGCTAAAAAGGAAAAAAAATATCAAGTCAGCGGACATTTCGAGAACTATATTAAAAAAAAACAGACCAAAAATTTAATTAAATACCTGTTTGATTCATAAAATAATGAGTAAGACTTTTTATTTGAATTTGTGTTGAAACTTTTGTTTCGTTTATAGGAAAATACATCGCATGAACACCAATACCGTACAATTTTATTTGCCTCCTGCCTCTTGCAGTATTTACAAAGGCAATGGCGGATAGACCCAATCTGCGTCATACAAAACGAACTTAAACTATGGTATTTGTTGTTACCCTGCCTTGCGCTCGTGATAGAACAAGGGCTGGTCGGCTTGAAGTGTCTCAGTGACGTATCTATGTTAAACTGCTGTATGGCATATCAGTTGTCTAGCACTTAAAAACCGGCATTAGTTCGGACTCGTACAAGCAGCCCCGCAGCCCCGCGCACGCGACACACTTGCATCACATGGGGCTGTCCCCATCATCAAGCTGACACATCGTGATATAACTGGAATACTGCTCCAAGCAGCGTGGAACCCAACTCACTCGCTCGCTCACTCACTCACTCACTCACTCACTCACTCACTCACTCACTGTAATGCAAGTGTTTGTTTCTTTATTTGTTGTTTAACACCGCACTCAGCAATACTCAGCTATATGACGGCGATCTGTAAATAATCGAGTCTGGGAGACAATCCAGTGACTGATATCATGAGCATCGATCCACGCAATTGGGATACGATGACATGCATCAATCAACCAAGTCAGCGAGCCTGACCAACCTCCCCCCCTCCCGATCCCGTTAGCTGCCCCTTACGACAAGCACGGGTTGCTGTAATGCAAGTAAGAGTATTGATGCGAGTGAGTGAGTAAATGATATTTTACGACGCTTTGAGCAATATTCCAGCAATATCACGACTGGGGACACCAGACATACGCTTCACATTGTGTACCAATGCAGGGAATCGAACCCGGTACTTCGGTGTGACGAGCAAACGGTTTTGCCACACGGCTACAACATCGCCCCTTTAGACTCCTGGGACCTAGACGCCCTTCCCCACATTGAAACATCTGTACCCAGTAGGAGGAGATGGTAATGTGACCGTTAACCTTCTAGCACGTCATAGGGAAGTTTGGGTTGTATACTCCCTGGGGAGCTGAGAATGAAAATCGAGTGCACACTGATCCATTGCCCGAGGTAATAATGTAGCGCTTTGAGCATGATTTAAGGTGTTGATTTTTACATTATATATATGCACATTATTTACACCCGTGGTTATTACACATACATATTAATGCTAGTGATAATACACATTAATACCAGGGGGCACGGGTGGCCCAGTCGTCTAAGGCGCCGCGATTCGCTGTGCAGAGTTGGGGCCCTTGGACTCACCAGAAACCTATGATTGTGGGTTCGAATCCCGGTTCGCCCTGATTATGTTTCTAGGTTTGTCAGCACCATACCCGTGTTCGTGGGTTTCACCGAAGTGGTAAACGTCTGATACCTGCATCACTTCGGGCTTTCCTCCCACATTAAGCTGACACGCCGTGATATAACTGTAATACTGTTAAAAAGCGGCGCTAAACACAACTCACTCACTCACTCATTAACACCAATGACGGTACATTCACGCATCTGTATTTGACACAAGAGATAACACTAAAAATAGATTAGGGCCTGACAGGTTTAGCGAGCGGTATTTATGAGAGCACTTCACTGACTATCATAAACCCACCGTATTATATCGATAAGCTGTGTAATTTGAACTGAAACATGCAAGGGTTTTATAGGCTGGAGGACTGGGAACCTCTCCTGAGTATCCACTTACACACATTAAGATGTTG